GTGACAGAAGGATAAAATCTTCCGGTGGCAAATAAGGGCTTCTAGGCTATTAGTCTTCCTCAGTCTCATGACTGGGCACATTACAGATGCGGAGTACAGCCAGTTTGTGTGTGCAGAGCAGGTACTTGCTTCCCGGATGTGCTGGAGCCCATTAGATGTGCTCTGCACTATGCATGTGTACGTCCTTCCCTGCTCTCCAAGAGACAGGATGTTGAGACTCTGCTATGGACACGCTAGCTGTGGACTGATTTGAACAACATGTATATGCAAAGGAGGTGGCACTGATTCTTCTTGTCATTTGCAACGTTAATGATACACAACATATGTAAATGTTTTAAACAACCATTATCTGCTTTCTGTTGCTACCAGCCAGACTACAGTTTAAGTTGGCTGAGATTAATGTAAACCATCTAATGATCAAAGCTAGAATTAACAACAGTTACAAGAGGCGAGAGCCAAGTGATGCCTGGGCTGCACACAGGATCAGCCCTGGTAACTTAGGAGTTTACCACAGCCTTTGCCAGACTCATCAGAACCAGCAGGCACGTAGTCTCAGCATGCTCTGTTATTCGTAGGCAAGGCTGATGTGCTAGACTGACTCTGCGTTCAGGCGAAGGGACGCTGTCGCTCCCTGAACCTTGCCATCAGCCAGGCAAGTCAAGTTTGGGAGCCAGCGGTTTTCAAAGTCCTCGAGGCTACTGGTGATATGACCAGCAGTCAGAGCCTGCATCAAACGCGATAAAAAGGAAGGGGTCTCCAGGCAGACTGCTCCATCACCTCTGGCTGCCAGAGAGCCCAGGGATCTCACTGACATCAGAGCCTGGTCTGAGAAGATGGAGCTTTTGGCCAAGAAATCAAAGGTCATTCTCATCGCTGGCAGTTTCATGGCTTTTGATAAATCAGCTCTTTTGTTCCTCTGAAAAACTTCCTGCTAGCCTGGCAACCACACTTCAAAGTGATTGTTTTTCATGGCCTTCATCTAGCTGCTGTCGCTTCTTAAAGTAATAATTGTCTCTTTGCTATAAAATATATAATTTACCAGGTAGGGTAAGTTAATACTTTTCCTCTTTTTAATTTCCAATTTATAAGACAAAATCAAGTCAATAAGGACCTTAAAGGCCTTTTTAGCCTTTTTAATATAACACTTTGTTAGAATAACTGCAAGTGCATTCACTGGCATGAAATCTTAAATGTAGTGGAAATAACACTTCAGGAGTTCTCGGGTTTGCCTTTAAAGATTTTTCTCTGCTGCACCCTTTATCCCAGTAAGCTTTCATCATTGAAACTTTTCTGATATCCTGTAGTAAGTAATACTTTACAAACTCCTGAAATTTAAGAATCTAAAGTATTATCCCTTGTGCCCTTTAACATGTTTACTGAACTTTGTGTACATGAGTCTGTATGATACATGAATGGCATATTTACTGGGAGTAATTTGTAATGCCATTGAAGTCATTGTAGGGATAAAAAGAGAATTGTCCTCAGAGAACTACAGAATCTGTAGACAGAAGGCGAGTGATAGGTATGTCTTTTCAAGATTTACACAATCCTTCTCTCCATTATGTAAATGCTGATTACAGGGAGTTCTGGGACCCAACGAGAAGCAATTACAGCCCTCCCAATCTGCGAGGAGCACATGCAAGACTGCCATTCACAATGGCCAAAAAGGTTGTGGTATGTTTGGTATTCTAAGATAAACTGATTTCTATCATTAATAAGACGTTCCCCATGCCCTGCTCATCAAGAAAAACTGCTAACAGTGCACAACTTCAGAACAGTAAACTGGAGCAAAAAGCACATGAACTGCAGAGGAATAACGGTCTAGGTTACTGAAACAACACAGGGAACAAGTCCTGAGTTCCGCCTGTCTGTGCTATAAACGTTCACATACCTCAAACTGATGCAATACAGACGGTTAGAGAATCGATAAAGAAGGATAATATGTCTCAAAAAATGATTGCTTTCTGGACAGAATCAGAGTCTCATCTTTTTACAGGGCTCCATGAATAGCTGATGTGTCCATCTAAAATTAGCTAGGTTGATGTCTGAATACCTACATCTCTATTCCTAGTTTCAATTGATTTGTGAAGACACTCCCTAATTATACATGGTGATTCATCTAGATTATCAGCCCCAGGAATGCTTTCTGGTTCTCAGGCTGGGGTCTGTGCTCCAGCAATGCTCTCATTATACATGGGGGCGAGACCCAACATGCACCACCCCTCTTCACAACGAAACCTCCAGAGCCACTGGGAGACAGAAACTGGAGCATCACTGTCAGCTGGGAAGAGAACTGAATGGTGCACCGCAGACTGCCCCAGTCTTTAAACCTAAAGGGAAAAAAACCAGCTTTCATTGCATCGCCGAGCAGCACCACCAGTTCATTATTGTCTTAAAATAGTATAGCCTCTAAACAATGCATTAATTATTAGCTTGCCTCATTAGTTAATCCCATTAGATTGATATACGTGTGCATTTTATCAGCAAAACTGAAAGTAAATTACTAGGAACACGACTTTTCCACTTGCATTTCAGATTCCATAGTAGATCAATAGATGAAAACCTTCTTGCTTTAGTGTAGTGTAAACTTGGCCTCTGAATTTCCTGTGTTCAGACAAGAGGGCATTTGATGGTTGAAAATGATGCTTTTGCCAAACGATGTTTTGGGGAAGGATAAATTAAGCGTATAAGATGGTAGCACTGGGAATACACTCAACGTTTATTACCAGTCTGCGTTACTGATGTTCATAGGAAGCTTTGTTTGAAGCAGGAGTGCAAAATGCCAGGTGCTGCACGAGTACCATGTCAAGATACTTGCAACTAAGCTTCCTAAATTAGAGCAAGAGTGACTAAGTCAGCAATTCTCACCTCTGGAGTTTGCATGAACTCAAAGCTCCACACCTGAGACCCGTTGGCACTCCACAGGGTTCAGAGCCTGTGAGATGCTGGGACTGCCATGGAGGTATCATTTTAGTAATACCGGCATTTCCAGATCAATTCACTAGCTGCCTAAAGGGAAAATAATTTAAAATCTCTACTTAAAAATAATTTGCAAGTAGTTTTTATTATCAGATATTAATTTCAAAATGGCATTTAAGGGCCTGAAGTACTGAAACATTTAATGAGGGTTTAGAAATGATAATAAAATACAACAGGCATGTATTAATCAGAGCAAGACACTTGTGAATTGAACTTGATGGTTTGGGTCTTAAAATGTGCTTGGAGTTTCCTATGAAGCTAGTAGGTATGATTACTGTTGTAGAAACACCTCCACAGAGCAAATATTTTACTACTTAGGACAGGATCAACAATGACCTGTCCATATTTTACGCATAAGACAAAAGCTCAGAAGTTAATACAGAGGTCATGAAACTGAGGGCAATTTTGCATCACCTTTGAAGTCCATTTTATAGTGTCATTTCCATCCTCATTGCCGGTTACTTGCATCACAGCAGCACCTAGAGGCTAGTGCTGTGCAGGCATGAAAGGGAAAGATCTCGATCCTGATGCAGCTAACAGCTGAAATAATAAACAGGAGAGATGGAGGAAGCAGAGACCGACAGTGATGAACCAAGCAAAGTGTGAGACGTTGACAGCAGTCACTGCTGCCTTCCCCATTAGCTGTCAGGGGTTAATGGGATTCTCTAGGTAAAACTATGCTGCAGCGTCACTTAGAAGGATTTAAAAGAATCAGAGATGACAACTGGTCTGGTATTTTCATCCCTTCATATTTATTGTTTCATGACATTTCTTCTGTGGGATTTATTCTAGTTTATAGCTGTGTTCTCACATATGAAAAGTTAGAGCTGGTCGAATTTTTTGACAATTAGAATTAAGCATTAAATTAGATGAGCTGAACTTTCTTGCTCTCCATGACTGAATAATAAAACTGTGATGGCTTATTTCCTTGCAGAAATTACAGTGGGAAACTGTATGCTAACTTGCTCAAAAAAAAAAGGAAAAAAATCCCTAAAACACCCTTTTCCAGTAGTGAAGCAGATCCTGTTTGAAAACAAAATGGTGCTATTCAATGGAGTTCATATTTGAAAGAAAAGAAAATAAAAGCTAGGGCTGTTGGCAAGTGGATAGCAATATTTACCTGCAGCCATATATCCACAAATGGCTGCTACACGTTGTTATTAGAGTTTAGGCTATAAGTATGTACCAGTACATTTGAGGTCTTTGAAGTGGCATATACGAGCGTATCCATACAGGTGGCATATGCTAGTATCTTCTATCAGGTAGAGAATTCCAATTTATGTTATTTGAATCCTCGAAGGGTATGAAAAGCTCTATTTATGTGCATTCAGTTCAACAGGAATAAATCAGACCCAGAGTAATATGGTCTTCAAATATGTCTGATTTCTTAGATCTTATTTGCTTGAGTATTTTCTGAGATGCACTAGTATGAACCATTTGGTTTAAATAATTGTATTGAAGACAATACAATATAGTTGGAGACAACTGTGTTAAAAGGATTTTCACTAATCTATTGGTTGAGGTAGTTTCCCTGGAAACTTGATAAGAATCCATTTCAGTGCAGTCTATTTAATTATTATTATTTATTTGTGCTATTTTGTTTGATAAAATTAATGAGAATATATACTGATTGGATGAGTATTTATTTTCACTGGTTCTGGCATAGTTAGAGCCAGGAGCCAGAGTTATGGTTTACATTTCTGAGTGTGACAGAGAGATGGATAACAGCTGATACTCATAAATATCCTCCAGTGAGAGTCTGCACGTTTGGATTTTTTTCATTGATTTTTATTTACAGCTGGTTACCTAAGAGAAGTGAATTAACATAACTCTTTCTCTCCTTCGTTTCACAACTTTGTTGTGCTCTTTGAGCTGCCCCAGTCGCTGCTGAGCCAGTAATGTCAGCCTTGATTTGTTTGTTCACCTCTCCTGCAGTACATGTCCTCCTATTAAGCCACTCCTAGTCCTAGAACTTGTACTCAATGTCTGCCCGCATCACCTCTCCCCTTCCTACACATCACCTGCAAGACATTCCTCCGCTTCAGTTCATGTGCAAGTGTCATAATGATGCACTCGGCGCTTCTCAGGGTAACTCTGTAGCCCCGCTGCAGGAGCATCGCTTGTCCTCCCTTCATCGTGCAGTTGTGCTTCCCGCTTGTGACTGAAATGAGATTTATTTTTTAGCTCTTTTGTGATGCTGTGTAACCTGTCTGCGCCATGTGTTCGCTTCCAGGTACCATAAGTAAATACGAATGCTCTAAATTTATAGGTGATATTTTTTGTGTGAAGATTATGCCTGCGCCTAGCGATGTAAAACTGGCATTGAGTTCTAGCGGAGCATTCTAGCTGCCCTTGTGCCTGTGGGGTGGGGTCCAGGGACCTGCTCTAAAGTCTCGGAGCCTCAATGGGAAGCGCTGCAATGGGGTGTTGGAACTAAGCCACCGCCAAAAAGGTAAATTTGAGCCATTTTGGTGGTCGTACAGATTTTCAAAAATCTAGTGTGTTCTTCTGGACTTGATGGTGATGCTCTCTAGTGGACAAGTTTGAAAAATCTGTTAGCATGAGCATCTGAAGGCTGCCTAGTAAAACTCTGGTGCTGAGGATACCGATAGGTAAGGCAAACAAACACAAAAAGAAAAGATCCATAAAATAAGCAAGCAAATTAACAAAACTCAGAAAGAAAAAAATCTTTTTGAAGGAGCCAAAAAAGGATTAAGGGATTGGAAAAAAGGATTAGAAGCCATGTATGTTTTGTTCTCCTTCTTGTATATTTAGCTTGTGAATATTAAGGAAGCATTAATATACATCATATGTATTTGGTTAGAGATGTATGGGCATGAATATGAGACAAGGTTGAGTTGTATCTCTTTTTTGGAAGTTAATTTCTGAAAAATCTCTCTGCTTTTTGGTATTTACTACTACACTCAGCTCAGTAGCTTCTCCTAGGTAAAGTAATTTTGGTTAAAGGAAAAAGCACTGCAGATTTTTTAATGAGTATAACAACTGTTACTGCTAATCCTAGACAATTTTCTCATGAGGCGCAAGTTCATACTACCACCTAGTGCAATTCATGTTTCAATGCAACAGCATTATACAGTATGATGTCTTTATTATTAACGAATTCCTCTGAATAATTAATCTAGCTGATGTACTTATTGACTATAGTAATAACTCTATATTAATGGAAGAAACAGAAACAGAACATGATTGTTCTTCTACCTCTAAGCCCTCTGTAAATACTACACTGACTTCCGTGCTTTATCTGCCTATTTTCTCCCATGTATACAGTAATTTCAAGGTAGTAATCATTCCCCTAGCACGATAATACACACCTATACTCCTGCT